TGGCGGGGGTACCGGTGAGGTTTCCTTTTGTTCCTTACCTGCTGCAGCAGCAGCTGATGCAGGTTGTGCTGCAGTGTATACTAGAAGGAACGCATGCGTTGATAGACAGCCCCACAGGCACGGGTAAAACTCTTTGTCTTGTGTCTGCTGCTCTGGCGGTGCAGCAGCAGCAGCAGCAGCTGCTGCAGCAGCAAATTCTTAAAATAAATAACTGCAGCAGCAACTTGCTGCTAACACCACAAAAAGGAAACTTACAGCACCACAAACTGCAGCAGCTCCTGCTGCTGCAGCAGCAGCAGCAGCAGCAGCAGCAGCAGATACCTATCGTTAATAAAATTATATACACCTCACGTACACACGGTCAGCTGCAGCAGGTGTTGAGAGAAATAAAAAAAACTTCTTTTGCTGCGCCCTGGAAACACAACCAGTTCCTGCAGCAGCAGCAGCAGCTGCAGCAGCAGCAGCAGCAGCAGCAGCAGCAGCAGCAGCAGCAGCAAGATATAATGAAACCACAATATAAAACAGAACACAAAAAATCCTCTTCTGTTGTGGGGTGGAGTGCCCTGGCAACTCCTGCTGCTGCTGCTCCTGCTGCTGCTCCTGCTGCTGCTGCTGATGCTGCTGCTGCTGCTACTGCAGGTCCAGCAGTGAAGAGAGACCCAGCAGCAGCAACAGCAGCAGCAGCAGCAACAGCAGCAGGAGGTGCAGCAGCAGCACAAGTAAAATCTGAACCATCAGCAGCACCACCAGCAGCACCACCAGCACCACCAGCAGCAGCAGCACCAGCAGCAGCAGCAGCAGCAGCAGCAGCAGGGGTGTCTAGAGGAATTCGTGTTTGTGTGTTAGCTTCGCGCGAGCAGCTGTGCGTACACCCCGCGGTGAAGCACCTGAAGGGTGGGGCTTTGGTTGCTGCATGCAAACACAGAATCAAAACACAGGTACTCTGCTGCTGCTGCTGTTGCTGCTGCTGCTGCTGCTGCTGTTGCTGCTGCTGCTGCTGTTGCTGCTGCTGTTGCTGCTGGTGATGCTGCTGCTGGTGATGGTGGTGGTAGTGGCGGTGGTGGTGGTGGTGGTGGTGATGGTGGTGGTTGTTGTGCTGCTGTTGCTGTTGGTGTTGCTGCTGCTGTTGCTGTTGCTGCTGCTGTTGCTGTTGCTGTTGCTGTTGCTGCTGCTGTTGCTGCTGTTGCTGTTGCTGTTGCTGGTGGTGGTGGTGGTTGTTGCTTCTTTGTTATATATATATATATATATATATATATATATATATATATATATATATATATATATATCTCTCTGTGTGTG